CAAAATGCCCAAAACCCTCTTTACCAATTCCTCAAATACCAATCCCCTGGGGGCCCCCCGGGGGCCCCCCGGGATGAGGGGGATCCAGTTAATGAACAGCAGCTGTTCTTTCTTGCGGGGAGGAAGCCTACGTCTCATGTAAACCCTAAACCCTAAACCCTAAACCCTAAACCCTGATGACGGAGAAAGAGAAAAGGAACAAAAGATGAATGGGGGAAACCCTAAACCCTAGTTTGTTTTGCGCTGTTTGTTCAGATTTGCTTCTCCAAGTATCCCTGCGCCGGTCCGTCCTCTCCAAACCCTAAACCCTAGCCAAACCCTAAACCCTAAACCCTAAACCCTACCTCGCCTTCAAACCCTAGTCAAACCCTAGCCCTGGCCTGCCCTACACTCCAACCCTACGGAGACCCTAAACCCTACCTCAGCCGAGACCCTAAACCCTAAACCCTGAGTGTGAAACCCTAAACCCTAATTTAAAAACCCTAAACCCTAAACCCTTTTTTTGTCGCTCGTTTTGTTTTTCTTTCAGGAGGCATTCTGGAGTCCTTGCGTTACTTCGGCTTCGACTCTGAAATAGAGGGATTGCCCTAGTTCATGTTTGCCCAGCTAGCTAGCTAGCTAGCTGGCTAGCTAGCTAGCAAGCTAGCTAGCGGGTCTGTGGCTAGCTAGCCAGATAGCTAGCTGGCGGGTCTGTAGCTAGCTAGCTAACTGGCTAGCTAGCTAGACTCACTCCACTGTTTAGCGCCTGAGAGGCAGCCAGGTGGCAAATTAGCTAGCTAGCCAGCTAGCCATCTAGCTAGCTAGCTAGCTAGCTAGAAAAACAGCGCGGCCTCGAGCTAGCCGGCTAGCTAGCTAGCCAGCCAGCTAGCTGGCCAGCTAGCTAGCCAGCTGCGCAGCCATTGAGCCCACCAGCCACCCCTCCAGCTAGCTAGCTAGCTAACTGGCTAGCTAGCTAGCTGCTGAGCTAGCTGAGCACGCGGCTAGCCAGCCACTCAGCTAGCCAGTTTTTTTCCCCAGCTAGCTAGCTAGCTAGCTAGCTGGTTTTTCTTCGCAGCTAGCCAGCCAGCTAGCCAGCCAGCCAGCCAGCCAGCTAGCCAGCTAGCTAGCTAGCTAGCTAGCTAGCTAGCTAGCGAAGGGGGAGCTGCTCGCCAGTGGCGGCGAGGACTGCGGTGTCTATACACCCGAGAGGCAAGCTGCCGTCGGGGCTGCCTTCAGTCAAAAGCAAAAAATTATTTGAAATAAAAAAAATAATTTTTGCTGCCAAAGCTTTTTCCAAGTTCAGCAGCAGCAGCAGCTCGCAGCCCCTCCGCAAGCCCGACGCGCTCAGCGGCAGCAGCGAACCCCCTGCTGCTGCTGCTGCTGCTGCTGCTGCTGCTGCTGCTGCTGCTGCTGCTGCGGCGGGCTGCGGCGGCTCAGCGGGCCCCGCGGGCGGCGGCTGTTGCTGCTCCGGAGCTGCTGCTGCACCTGCTGCTGCTGCACCTGCTGCTGCTGCACCTGCTGCTGCTGCACCTGCTGCTGCTGCTGCACCTGCTGCTGCTGCTGCACCTGCTGCTGGTGCTGCAGCTAAGCAGGGGACGAAGTGAATGTGTCTTCTTCCCATTCTTCGAATTCCGTGAAGTTTAATGGACTCCCAACACTTCAAAAAAGTCCCATGAACAAAAACCACTTTAAAAGGAGCAGCAAAACCCTCCCCCCCAGCAGCAGCAGCAGCAGCAGCAGCAGCAGCAGCAGGACTCAGGGGGCCCCCGGGGGGCCCCCGCTGCAGCAGCTGCTGCAGCAGCTGCTGCAGCAGCTGCTGCTCAGATTCCACCGGCGACAGCAGCAGCGAACTCTCCACAACAGCAACTGAGTGCCCCTGCGTTGCCCGGATGTACACCTCAGCAGCAGCAGCAGCAGCAGCAGCAGCAGCAGCAGCAGAACCCCTCGGCCCTGCTGCTGCTGCTGCTGCTGCTGGAGGCACCCCGCAGCATCGCACGCAGCAGACCGCCCCGGCCGGCAGCACCCGGAGGGGGCTGAGGGGCCCCTGCTGCTGCTGCTGCTGCTGCTGCTGCTGCTGCTGCTGCTGCTGCTCTGCAGCAGCAGCAGCAGCAGCAAAAGGGCTGGTTGCGAGGGCCAGCTGGAAGCGCTGTTTGCTGTCTGCTGCTACGACCTGCAGCAAATCGGCGAAAGTGCTGCTGCTGTTTTGCTGCAGCAGCAAAACAGCAGCAACTGACACAAAGCCGTCGGGCCGCATTTGGAGGCCCCTGTGGGGCCCCTCGTGCCGCAGCAGCCGCGTCAGCCGCCGCGCAAACGCATGCAGGGGCCCCCCTCTTGCTGCTGCTGCTGCTGCTGCTGCTGCTGCTGGTGCTGCTGCTGCTGCTGCTGCTGCTGGTGGTGGTGCTGCTGCTGCTGCTGCTGCTGGTGAATTGTAGGATGGGCTGATAGCGCAGGCTCCACACAGATGGCACACAGGGGCTGCTGCTGCTGTTGCTGCTGCTGCTGGTGTTGCTGCTGCTGCTGCTGCTGCTGATCCCTGCATGGCGGCGGGCGCTGCTGTAGCAGCAAAGGCAGGAGCAGCAAAAGTATGTTTACCTTTTGCTGCTGCAGCAGCAAATACCCAATAATTGTGTATATATATAATATATAATATATAATATATAATATATAATATATAATATATAATATATAATATATAATATATAATATATAATATATAATATATATAGATAGATATATATATATATATATATATATATATATA